CTCAGCAAGCCCTGCTACATAACCTGCCCAGCAGCACGATGCAGAGGAACATGAGAGACAGTGTGATTTCTACGGTGAGGACACAGTGGAGCCCAGCATATAGCAACCCTGCTCACAGATTATCACACAGTTCAATTTAGGAACGACCCCACACAGAACCCACACAGAGGTCCCACCTGTTGCCTGCTGGCACACACTCACACAAGCATGTTTCCATCGCATCAAATAGGGACTGTCCTCCCCTGGCTTGCTCTCTGTCAGCTACATACCCAGCTGGACACCCAACACACAGCTCGCACAGAGAGGTGCAGGGGTTAGGCAAGCACAACTCACGAGCAATGGCAGGATACAGAGCGGAGATCCAGCAGACAATTAATCCTGAATGTGCAACGTAAACTAGCATCTACTCAGCATATGCCCTATGCCTTTATTTTCCATGCCCTGCTGTCGCTCTTCTCATAAATCACACTGTCTCTCCCTGGTATAAGTCTAGATTCTTTGCATCCCATTCTTCACTTATCAGATTAACGCTTCATAGGACCTTCCTGTGTTATCTCTGTTTCAAATGCTAAACATGGGCTTATCAGTCAGACAACAGCTGTATGATCTTGTAGAATGCCATTTTAGAGTGTATTAACGGTTAGTTAACTATGTCTTCACCATACTGTTTATTAAGCTTTACACAAAGAAAAAAAAAAAAAGTGCTGTTTAAGGGCTTTCCTGTGTTATATCTATTTCACATACTGAACATAGGCTTATCTATCATACTACAGCCGAATGATCTCGCTGAATGCCATTGCAGAATGTATTATCTGCTAGTTAACTATGTCTTCACCATACTGTTTACTAAGCTTTGCAAAAAAAAAAAAAAAAAGTGCTGTTAATAATTGCCATGATACTGTTCAATATGTATTGTTTCAGAGACTTGTACTTGCTGTCGTGGCAATACAAGTCTGTGTGTTAAACCTAAGCACTGCAAAAATAAAGATTTATAAAAAAAAAAAAAAAAAAATCTGTTTAATGCTGAATGAAATGACAGTACCAGGGGACTCCAGACACTATACCAAGTTTAATAAGAGGCACCAAACAGTGCCTATAGTGTCCCTTTAAAAGAAAGCAGCCAGAACAATCAAACATTTATCATAACACTGCCACTAAACACGCATTTAATTTCAGACACACTTCCTTTTATTTTTTTGTTAATATAAAAATTATGCTTCTGAATGGTTTTCTGGTTGTATAGATTCTCTTCATCAGTTTCTGCAGTTGGTCAAATAATTCCATACATTTCTTTTTGTCTGTCAAGGTTTTTCCACTCAAGTGAGGACTGATGGTATATCATAGTGAATTTAAAGTAAAATAAAAAAACTTTTAAATTAGATTTTAGTCTTAAGTTGCCATAAAGGCACATGATGTTCTGATAGGTCATTTACTAGAATTCACAGTGTGCTCATCCGTTTCCAGAGCTGCTAGTTTTCAACTATACAATATATCCCAAATGGTCCTTTTAGGAGTTTGTCTGTAGCTGTTTTAACACTCACTTCAAATTTTTCTTTAAGAAAAAAAAAATACATGGCTTTTTTAATAAAATTACTGTGCTGCATATGCTGTAATGAGTAAAATAAATAAATAAATAAAAGGGTTAACACCTAACCAATAAAGCTTTTGAGTCTAATTCTGAGGCTTTGCAATACATGTATATTACATAAACATTACACCTACACACTAATAACCTGTATCTTACAAAGCACAAGGAAATTGAGGTTTGCCAAATGTTTTTGTTCGGTCATTGTAGTGACTTAAAGGGGCAGTTATGCAATGTATACTCTCCAAGCTGCATGCTCTAAGATCTAAGCTGACACTCTAAACCAGTGAGTGAAAGACGACTTTGGCCATTGGCTTCCTCTAAGAAGGACCAGAATTCGTTGCTGGCAGGTCCCACATGTCAAAATATGCTAAAACAGATTGACAGGACTATATTGGGATGGCATCATAGCCATTGCAGCAAGCTGTAGTAGTTATAGTGCATGGAGTGTTTAGTTAAAAGCACATTTCTGTAAACCGAAATCCATATTGGAAAATTCTGGTAAAAAAAAATAACAAACTGACTAAAACTGAGTTGGATTTCAATGAGCTACATTTAAGGTATTCGTAAATAAACCATGTATTTTATCATGTGAATGCCCTGTTGAAAATCTGATCAGTTATAAAATGCAAAATTAAAATTGAAAAACATGCATATCAAAAATACTAAAACTGTTTGAGTCCTTACCATGTTGCAACAAAAAAAAAGAAATGACTATGTGGTCTTACCTTTGGGGTTTTGTGAAGCAGCCTTTGATAAATAGCTGTGTGCTTGGGTGTAGTCCTTGAGGTGATAGCAAGAAACCCCAGCCCTGTATAATGCTTTAACATTATGAAGCTGCAGCTCGAGAACCTTCTTGCTGCACTCGAATACACGCTCGTACTTTGGTGGCTGAGACTGCAGGAGACAAGCTGCAAAAAAGTTTTGAAAATAAGTTCTACAAACAGGTTTTTTTTTTTTTTTTAATTTACACTTGCATAGCCACAGTTGTTGAAACTAGAACACCGGACTTAAGGGCTACTATGAAATGCAGAGAGGATACAGGCACGCAGATTTCATTATACGGCAGACTTTTTACTGTAATAAGCACAACATGACAATGTTTCGGCAGATACAGACAGTCTTGGCCATCCAAGTAGGCAAAAACAATGTCATATTGTGCTTATTCCAGTAAAGAGACTGCAATAGAATGGACTCTGTGTGCCTAAACGCTCTGTATTTGGACATATACTAGGGGGTTTGCCATTCCTTGAACACCAGCATATTAATTGGATTAATCACCTCATAGGATGTGTGCAGTCCCTACTGGAAACATATTAAAGGGACACTATAGTCACCAGAACAACTACAGCTTATTTAATTTGTTCTGGTGAGTTGAATCATTACCTTCAGGCTTTTTGCTGTAAACACTGTCTTCTCAGAGAAAATGCAGTGTTTACATTACAGCCTAGTAATAACTTCACTGGCCACTCCTTAGATGGCTGCTAGAGATCCTTCCTGGGTCATGGCTGCCTAAAACACATCCAAACATTCAGTGTCTCCACACTCTGCATGCAGACACAACTTTCCTCATAGAGATTCATTGATTCAATTCATCTCTATGAGGAGATGCTGATTGGACAGGGCTGTGTTTGAATCATGCTAGCTCTGCCCCTGATCTGCCTCTTTGTCAGTCTCAGCCAATCCTATGGGGAAGCACTGTGATTGGATCAGGCTACCACTTCTGATGATGTCAGCAGACTGCTTGTTTTTTTGAGGCAAACAGCATGCAGATCTACAGCTTCTGTCTTGAATACAGTAAGATGTTGCTATATTTATGGAGGCATGAGGGGCCCAGGGGGGCTAGATGGTGGTGGTCAGGAATACATGTTTGTGTTCCTGACCCTATAGTGATCCTTTAAAGATTACTGTGAGCATCATCACAACTTTGCATTATTGCAGAGATGGTGGTACATAGGTATCCCTAAGCCTACTCTCAGCTTATAACAGCAGCAACTGTGTGGGGTAAAGGGAAATGTGTATGCAGTTTGGGAAAGTACATTAATGACATGAAATTCATAAATGTAGTCGTTTATCTGATGCTACTCTCACACTTTTTTTTTTGTTTGTTTCTGTATTGCACTGCATTTAGCCTTAAAATAATTTCAAAGATATATTCATTGAGGTCCTGCATTTTGTTTTCCCCTGCTCGTTCACATGCTGCGCAGGGAGATAAACAATGGTAGATTTGCAATAAATATCATATCAGCTAGAATATGACATCAGCTCTGATGTGACAGTTACTTTTTAACTCTTAGCAACTATTTGCCAGCAAATAAGTGAAATACAACTTGAAAGTGTATGGTAGTTGATGTATATAGGCAGACATTACTATTCCTATAGAAACAAAAACATAAAACGAGGAAAGCCAAATAGAACAGTTAAAAAATAAAATTACTTATTCCTTCTCAAAATATACAAAAACATCTCCCCAGCTTACCTGCCAGATTGTTATAGCAATCTGCCTGTAAGGCTTGAAAAACCTCATTCTGCTGTGGAGTAAGTTTGACAGGAGCAGGCCCCAGTCCAGCTAGTGGAGATTGGAGACTGGGATCTAGGCCACGGAGCTGAAGGAGAGCGCGGTGATAGAGACTGACTGCTTCCCGCACACGGCGCTCTGAATAACATGTGTTACCCTGAGACTTAAAAGAGCTAGCCTGTGAGAGGCGCAATTCAACTTCCCCAACCTGGTAAAAAACAAAACACAACACCGCATTTTGTAAATACAAAAAGATATCAAATCTAGCTAGCAACAGTGAGAATGCTTGGAATTAACATTTCAATATACAGAATCTATTAGCTTCATCTCAATTGAAGTAATCAGTGTGCAGTGTCTTTGTCCCATTAATCTTACAGTTGAAAACACTGCAGTTTAGAGAAGCCAAAATGTTTACATTGCAGCACTAAGACAGCCTCTACCAGACAGCCACTAGAGGTGCTTCCTGCTGGTTCACAGAGTTTAACTTCTAAATGGATAAGAACTGAGCAGGGAGACTGCAGGGGCATGATCTATACATCAAAACTGCTTCACTAAGCTAAAGTTGTTTTGTTGCCTGTAGTCTCCCTTTAACCCCTTAAGGACACATGACATGTGTGACAGGTCATGATTCATTTTTATTCCAGAAGTTTGGTCCTTAAGGGGTTAAGAAACCCTCTATTTTACCTATGGTCACAGCTTGGCTATTAAAGCCTGAATATTGCCATTCAGATGTTACTGGTGGGAAACCAATAAATTAATGAATGATGAATAATTGTGCAGCATACCAATTATATATACACAATGGGCCACCAATTTATAAAAGCCCTGCCCTGTGTGTCCAGGAAACACATGATGGAGCTGCCAATCTCGGTCAATGTAACTAGATACTTTGACTCTACCTTTTCAGCCATAGCTCAGAGAGGCTGCAGCATGCTAGCTCCAAACCACTACCCCAGAAAGATGAAGCTGGCCAGGACGTCACGTGACAGATCCCTTCAATAACTTTATTTATAAAAGTCAATTCTGACATTCGCTTCACCCATCATTCTGTTGCACCCCCACAGCTGGCTGAGTATGATGGGATTCGCAGCCTCAGTGACAGAACGAGACATGATGTGTAATCCATTATACACAATACTAATAAAACTGTAGCAAGCCATCGATTCCTAGACTGTAATATACAGCCTGAGACGGACGATACATTACATTCATCGACACAAGAAAAACTGTTAGATTATCTCCATTTCTGTCAATAAAAATGACAAGAAGGCGCTGTTTATTTTGCTTTAAAAAAAAAAAAAAAAAAACCTGAACACCCCCTCCTTCACATAAAGAAATGGGCGTGCCGGCGCCAGTGGCCAATCACAATGCGCAACACTGTCACTCGTGGATCACGTGTGTGGAGACGAGCCCAATGTTTTCACAGGAGAGGGGAGTATTCACTGCCTCCTCGCCAATGCTTATTTCCGCCCGGTCTGTGCTTACTTCCGGTTCAACCGCTTCTCCCGGTTTGTTTACTTCCGGTGTGTTTTGTTTATGCCTTTATGCCCCCCCTCCCCCTCTCCCCCTTTATTGAAGAACTCCAACTATGAGCAATATGGACCCACGGAAGATGAAAGTGACTGAGCTTCGGGCTGAGCTCCAGCGGAGGGGCCTGGAGAGCTGCGGGCTGAAGAGCGAGTTGTGTGAGCGGCTGCAGGAGGCGTTAGACTCGGAGTTACTGGGGGTCGAGGAGGACGATGCAGAGGACTGCGCCTATTCCGCCATGGCAGGGCAGGAGGAGGACGACGAGAGCGTCTTGGCGCTGGCAGCAGGCGAAGAGGAGGAGGAGGAGGATGAGGAGACCGTGGAAGGGGAGGAGGACGAGGATGAGCTGGACCAAGAAGGGGGTGACATGTCCTCCCAAAACAAACCCCCTCCATCCTCCAGCCTGCCCCAGACTGCCACCCCTGAATTGAGGGATTCCCCCCCTGTGGAGTGTGACACCAGAGACCTGGGGACTAAAGCAGCAGCAGTAAGTGAAGGTAGGTACACTGGTAGGTGTTGACTGTTTAGGGCAGGGGTCCTCAATCTCTGGCCCTCCGGATGTTGCTGAACTATAACTCCCATGATTCTCTGAATTACATAGATAGCCAGAGAATCATGGGAGTTGTAGTTAAGCAACATCTTGGGGGGCCAGAGTTTGAGGACCCCTGGTTTAGAGGAAAAGACTGTACTCTCTTTATGATAAGCTAAGGTTTACATGAATGAAGGTTTGGATAGAGTGCTTTTGTGAAATGTTGCTGAAGTTGCCTTCTTATTCGAAGGCTAAAAGTTAGCGTCTTATTCAGGTAGTTTCTTATTCAGATTGTCTTCATGTTCATCCAGATTACATTTTTTTTCATGAATGTGTTTACCAAAAACAATCATAAAAACGTCCAACATTTTTAGTGTAGCTTGAACATGAAATATGCCGCCAAACCCCGCACACTAAAATTCCGAAAATGTAACTGAGCTTTTCCCTTAAGATAAACATAAACAATAGAAATCTCGCCCTGGCGTCTGGGATGTAAGTCCTTTAGTTATGGCAGCTGACTGAGGGAGCATTGGAGCCGGCTGCCCTGTTGAGCATGGAGGTGGCGAGCGAGGGAACAGTAATCTACTTGCAGCTCCTCTCTGCTCCCTTGCGTGCTGTTTAGTGATGCTGTAATATGGCGTCACTCCGGCCCTGGCAACACTACAGAGAGCGCGAGCGAGCAGAGAAGAGTTGCAGGTAGATTATTGCTCCCTCGCACGCAGGAAGATTAAAGGAACACTATAGTCACCTAAATTACTTTAGCTAAATAAAGCAGTTTTAGTGTATAGATCATTCCCCTGCAATTTCCCTGCTCAATTCACTGTCATTTAGGAGTTAAATCACTTTGTTTCTGTTAATGCAGCCCTAGCCACACTTCCCCTGGCTATGATTGACAGAGCCTGCATGAAAAAAAACTAGGTTCACTTTCAAACAGATGTAATTTACCTTAAATAATTGTATCTCAATCTCTAAATTGAACTTTAATCACATACAGGAGGCTCTTGCAGGGTCTAGCAAGCTATTAACATACCAGGGGATAAGAAAATCTTAATCAGAACTTGCAATAAAGAAAGCCTAAATAGGGCTCTCTTTACAGGAAGTGTTTATGGAAGACTGTGCACGTCACATGCAGGGAGGTGTGACTAGGGTTCATAAACAAAGGGATTTAACTCCTAAATGGCAGAGAATTGAGCAGTGAGGCTGCAGGGGCATGTTCTATACACCAAAACTGCTTCATTAAGCTAAAGTTGTTCAGGTGACTATAGTGTCCCTTTAAAAAGAAGCCCCAACCGACCCCAGGGAAAGATCCACTTAGCTCTCCCAAAGGTATGGAGACTGTATGGATTTCAATTAAAATAAAAATCACAATTTGTGTGTGTGCAGTCTGTTTAGGTACCTGCCTCTCCCCAATCGAATGAGAGGTGTTTTTACTCACCTTGTTTCGCCATAGCTGGTCCTGCTTCCATGGCTGAGATTGATTTCACATCGGAAAGCATTGGGAGGATATTGTGCATGTGCATCAAAACACTGCGCTGTGCCAATCAACATCTTCTTATAGAGATGCATTGAATCAAGTGGGCAACACTCATGCAGAGACGATGGCCACTCTCTATTTGCCATCTGAATGTCTGTCGCTAAAGGGGTTACTAGGCAGCAATGTTAAAAAGGCAGTGTTTGCATTGAACACATTGAACACTCGGAGTTACTGGGGGTCGAGGAGGACGATGCAGAGGACTGGTACAGGCTGTACACACCAGAACAACTAAATTAAGCTGTAGTGGTTCTGGTGTTCATAGTGTCCCTTAAGAATTGCATTTTTTTTTTTCTCATTGAAAATGTAACTTTTCCTTTAGAAAAAACAGTCTCCTAACTTTTTTAGCAGGTTCCTAGATTCCAAACAAATTTGTAAAGCCCTGTGTTATCTACTAATTTGGCATTCCTTTTATAGGAAAAAGTTAAATCTGACATAAGCCAAAAAATGGTATTAAATATAAGTCTGGCACAAAACTGGCCACCATATCACCAGTCCATTTCAGTGGGAAGTTCTGAATGTGTAACCAAGGGGTGGCTCTAGACTTTTCGAGGCCTTAGACGAAACTCAAACATGAAGCCCCCACCAACACAATTAGTAAAAAAAATAATAGGGGGTTGACTTGTGTGTGTGTGTGTGTGTGTGTGTGTGTGTGTGTATAAGGACATTGGCTTTGGACACCGAAAGGTAATCTCTGTATTCATCTAAAGAGGTTTACATTGTCACAGCTCCCTATGCCGCTGCGTTGTGAGCTCTTTGACTGTAGTTATGGCATAATTTGCAATTATTGCTAATCATTTATACACGATTGCTGGTTATGGTTGTATAACCTAGCAGTCGTGTATACATAAGTGCCAGTGTGAAGGGGTTATTTGAAACAAAATTAACACTTTGATTGGGCTTTCAAAAAATAATTTGCCAAATAATAAAGTTACAGATAAAAAAAACAATGGCATAGACATTTTATCCACATATTCTATAATCCTTTACATGTATATTATCATATGTTTCCCTATGTATTGTATGTATGTGTGTATGCATATAATATATATGTTGCTTGCAACTTTACATTTGCATTACCCATACCATACCACCCTCACATTGCAGACAGACACACACTCACTAATAAACGAACACATATAAACGCTAATACACACGTGCATACACATAAACATGCTGATGCACAGAGACACATATATTCTCTAATACAGACATACAGTCACAAGGTGTATTTATCTGGCTGTGTGTATTTCTGAGTTTGTCTGGCATTGTCTACCTGTGTGTGTGTCTGACTTGCATGTGTATGTTTGTGTCTGGGACCGTATGTATGTGTGGTAGCTGCTTGTGGTGTTTTGTGTATAATGGGGGCTGTCTGTGGCATTTGTGCACTTTGTTTATGCTAAATCTATGTTTTATGATGTTGTGTGTATGATGATTGTCTTGAGATGTGACTTTGGAGCAGGGATTCCCAACCCAGTCCTCAAGTACCCCTAACCAGTCCAGGATTTAGGGATTACCCTCCTGTGTCTAAAGTGTTGTTTTTTTTTTTTTGTTTTTTTTCTAAAAACACAACTGGGTAATCCCTAAATCCTGGATTGTTAGGGGGTACTTGAGGACTGGGTTGGGAACCCCTGCCTTGTACAAACGACCACTGTATATCAGATCTCTGGCAGGTGACTTAGGAGCACAGTCAGGTAACAGTAATGATTCATCAAATGCCTTGTCTTGGGCAGAGTACCAAATAAGTCGCCAAGGTATGGGGGTGTAGGTAGAGACGGCAGCAACTTGATGCCCAATGACAAAACCTTCACAGGTCAAGGCAGAGTCCACATACATTCCCCATGAGGCACCCCTTATGGTGATCACACAATCATTTAGAATTTAGGAGTGAGTGACATACAACATGTTTTGTGTACTGTAGGCATATATTGCATTTGAATTGACAGACAATACAGGCCTGAGATGAACACGTTTTTAACACAGGAATGAAACCAAACTTAATAAGATACTCACGTCTAAATGTCCCTCTAAAGAAATGAAGGATTTGCTGTCTGAGAAGGACATGGATGAGTCAGAAGAAGCAGCAGCTGTGGATTCCTTGATTGGGGAAGCTAAGAAAGTTGGAGAAAGAGGATCTAATGCTGGTAAGTATTTATGAATTAATTGAAGAAAAATGCTATCCTCTTATAATGGTAAGCAAAAACAGAACATATTTAGCACATTCAGTCTAAATAAGCTTGTTTGACCATTATGAAACATAGTTGATATAATTAAAGGATTATTTACTAAAGTGAATTAACTCAAATTTCTTTAATGAGGCACTGTTTTTGGTTAAATTAATGGCATGCCCACCCTCCTCCCATCACACACTGTGAAGAATAGCTTACCTGTGTTCCAGTGCTGAGGCCAAATTCTCTCAACATCCAGATTCTCCTATAGTGATGTCACCTCTTCTCCCCCCCCCCCCTCCTCATACACACCAGGGACGACAAGTTGAGTGGGAAGGGGGAAGGGCATGCGGCCATGGTTCATCTGTTGCCATCATGCAATGCGTATTGACAACAGACACCTTATATGCACACAAGTGACATTAGCTATACTGGAACTCTCACTTTGGCCTGGCTAATGTTAGAGTTAGGAGGGGAATTATACATCCAACAGATACCGTAAGTGTTTTAACTCCAAGCATCATGTCCACTTAACATACTGCAGTATGGAAATCCATTAGTAGTCAAAGTGGACCTCCAAAAGAATTGCAGTGATTCATCATTTGCTTTCTCACAGCATGAAGAAAATAGATTTTCGTAACTTTAGATCCAATCTGTTATTGATGTCTGGTAATCTCATATGTATTTTTTATGCATAGTGTGTAGTCTCATGGTGCATTAAATTTGGTATATAAGTTCTGTCCGTCTTCATATGTGTATGGTTTATCTCTTGAGACATGTCCATTCAGTTATTTTTTTTTTAATCAATGCAAAGGGGTCAAGAGACTACAAGAGGAAGAACAAGGTCAGACCTATCATGAATTTAATGAAGAGGCATGTTTCAGTCGGTGAGAGTTTATATCTATCTCTTTCTACTCTAGTTTGTTTAATGGGATACACGACACACCCAAACAACTTTAGCTTAATGAAGTGATTTTGGTATGTGTAGATCATGCCCCCGCAGTCTCACTACTCCGTTTTACTCACATTTACAAGTGAAATCCCTTTATTTATGCAGCCCAAGCCACACCTCCCTCTGGCTGTGACTCTCACAGCCTCCATTATAAAAAAATAAAAAGTTAATATTTTCAAACGTAGCTTACAGCATTGTGTGTTTGCTTCAGAAGATCTTATCTCCTTGTCTGTTAATAGAACTTTAATCACAGAAATGAAGCTGCTTTAGACGATTGCCTAGGAAATAACAGAGCAGGTAACATGAAATTCTAAATTAAAGGAACACTATAGTCCCCTAAACAACTTTAGCTTAATGAAGCAGTTTTTGTGTGTATAGCATGCCTCCTAAGTTTTACTGCTAAATTCACTGCCTATTAGGGATTAAATCACTTAGTTTCTGTATATGCCCTTGCCACACCTTTCCTGGCTATGATTGACACAGCCTGCATGGAAAAAAACTGGTTGTTCCGCCAAAAGTTTAAAAAATAAAGTGGCCGCGGGCGGCGAGGGAGCAGTGAGCAGTGATTTCCCTGCTCAGCTCCCTTGCGTGCACAGCAGTAATGCTGGAGCTGGAATATGATGTCACTTCGGCTCTGATTTCACGATGTTGATACACTATGTGAAAGGATTTCACTGGAAAAATTAATTGGGAACCCCTGCCTTAAAGGACTACTATAGGCACCCAGACCACTTCAGTTTAATGAAGTGGTCTGGGTGCCTGGTCCAGCTAGGTTTAACCCTTTTTTCTATAAACCTATAAACCAGAGAAACTGCTATGTTTATATTAGGGTTAATCCAGCCTCTAGTGGCTGTCTCGTTGACAGCCGCTAGAGGCGCTTCCGCGCTTCTCACTGTGAATATCACAGTGAGAAGACCCCAGCGTCCATAGGAAAGCATTCTGAATGCTTTCCTATGAAACTGGCTGAATGCGCGCGCGGCTCTTGCCGCGCATGCGCATTCAGCCGAGGAGGAGGAGAGCTCCCAGCCCGGCGCTGGAGAAAGAGGTAAATTTAACCCCTTCCACCTCTAGAGCCCGGCGGGAGGGGGACCCTGAGGGTGGGGGCACCCTCAGGGCACTATAGTGCCAGGAAAACGAGTATGTTTTCCTGGCACTATAGTGGTCCTTTAACCCCTTAAGGACACATGACATGTGTGACATGTCATGATTCCCTTTTATTCCAAAAGTTTGGTCCTTAAGGGGTTAAACAATTGTATCTTTCACTGTAAATTGAACTTTAATCACATACAGGAGGCTCTTGCAGGGTCTAGCAAGCTACTAACATAGCAGGGGATAAGTAAATCTAAATTAAACAGAACTTGCAATAAAGAGAGAATACATTTTAGAGGACTCTTTACAGGAAGTGTTTAGGAAGGCCGTGCAAGTCACATGCAGGGAGGTTTGAGTAGGGTTCATAAAGTGATTTAACTCCTAAATGGGAGAGAATTGACCACTGAGGCTGCAGGGGCATGTTCTATACACCAAAACTACTTAATTAAGCTAAAGTTGTTTTGGTGACTATAGTGTCCCTTTAACAATAAAGGAAGCTAATAAAAAACAAAATGTTAGACAACTTTTTATGTTGTTTGAGTCACAGATGGGGAGGTGTTTCTCTGGCTATGTAAACAAAATCTCCTCCATGACCGAGCATTGAGCAGTGACACTGCAGGGGCAGTCCTCTCTTTAAACAGCCAGAATGAATTGTAAGTGTGTTTTGGGTTGCAAGTTTGGATTTTTTACAGCAAAAAAAAAACAGAACACTTTTTTTTTTGAAGATTTTTATTGTGTTTTAGTTTGATTGTTTTTCATTTGTTTGTTTTTGAAAATGCTTCAGGCATTTAGAACTTCTCAATGAATTCGGTCATAGCAGAGAACTAGTTTTATATATTGCAGTTAATAGCATTATGAAACCATAATTATTTTACGATGTCTCCTGATGTGAATGTCGGATGTTTGCAATATTGAAAGTATTTTTTATGTGTCTTATTATGCATCAATGCTTGTAAGTCCAGGCTGACTCATTGAGCTGTTTATTTTTTTATCTTTTCTTTAGAAGTAACTCTCCTCTTCCTGCAGAAGATCCACTTGACAATGTTGAAGAGTGTGCGGTCTGTTTAGATATATGTAAGCTATTTTCTTTACAACCTTACTTTACAACCATGGTCTAATTCTACTAACGAAACTTTCAAGCACCATAACTACTACAGCTTGCTTTTGTAGTTGTGTTGCCAGCCATGTCCTCCACCCAAGTACAGTTTGACAACTTACCTGGGGTCTGCCACCTCTCTTGGAGCTGGAAGCTCTCAGTCAATCATTAACTCTTTAGCTCTGTGCTCTGTGCTGTGTCAGTGCAGGACTCGCCACCTTCAGAGGAATTGGTGGCGGGTATCTGGCATACCCCAGTTAAGTTGTCAAATTGTTCTTAAAAGGTTTAACTAATTGCTGTCGGAGAGTTTCATGGCACTCCTGACACCACAACCAATACAGTTGGCTCTTTTAACTGTTCTTTTAACTGAGAAAATCTTATATTATGTAATATATATATATATATATATATATATATATATATATATATATATATATATTGTAAAATAATTCTGATCCAGGCTTCTTTCTTCTGCCAGCTACCTCTGATCTGCATTTTAGGATGGATAAAGATCGTTATGGAGGGCATCCACTCTTCTTTACCAAATTCCCCTCATTGTGGTCTGGGTCTAGAACCACTCATGGAGTGACAGCAGGGAAGGTTTACTTTGAAATAAAGGTGAGCATCTTATACAGTATTCCATACACTTACTAAATAGCTATTAATCTCTGAAGACAATAATACCAAATTCTAACATTGTTACACATTGAAATTCTATTTTACTCCATGTATTTTATTTTGACATGTAACTATCAAAAACAAATTGAAATCCTAAACCTATAATGTACTCTCAAAATCAGGGGGGGAAACATCTGATCTGACTCTAGTGTAGTTACATGTGGTTTTAGAACCCTATAAAGAGTTGCCTTTGTAAAGGGATACCTCTTCAGCATTTGAGCTTTGTATGAACTACTTGATAGGTAGCTTTTCAGCATGATGTAGAACATTTGTATTTACTTTTTTGATTGGCAAAACGTGTGCTGTTTTCCCACAAATTAGAAATTTAAAGCTTTATTTTCTTAGTCCAATGTTCTGTATCTTTGTAGACATCATCTGTTTATATATTTATTGACCAGGATTTATTTGGGCTTGTGATAACTACTTTTTAAATATCGTTTTACTGACCTCTGTAGGGTGTAGTTTAACTCCTTTATTAACTTTCATTTATGGGAGTGTTTTTAGAAGCTGTATAACACCTGGATATTTTTTTTTTTTTTTCATGAAGGAACATACTAATGTTTGGAATACAAATGTATTCGTAACAGAAGAGTGCTATATTAATTGTACAGATATTTTGCTTTGCCTTGTATCCATTAAGCAAAGGGATCATCAAGCACTGCAGCTACTGCTATTCCGTTGGCAGAGACCATTATTAGAAATGCTTTCAGCCAATAAAATGTTTTTACATAAGGAAGAACTGGGGGGCTAGTGTGCTTGTGAGCTGCACTGCACCAGTCAACGTATGAGAAGCAATCAACGTCTTCATGTAGGTTGTGATGATGCCAAACATTGGTCCTGCAAAGATTGAAGAACTGCTCCAGGACGCTCCACTTGTGCATGTCTGAGTGACAGCCATTAGAAGTAGTTTTAGAACACAATGTAAACCCTACTTTTTTCAGAAAATGTAGTCTTTGCATTGATAAGGCTTCAGGGTCAGTTTCTCTGCACCAGAACCACTGCTTTAAGCTGTAGTGGTTCTGGTGTTTAGAATGTCCCTTTAAAGATCAGCCTATAAAACATATGTATTGTACTGTATTTTCTTTGAATTTTACTCATACTTGCTAATTCTGATCTCTCTCTCTCTCTCTCTCTCTCTCTCTCTCTCTCTCTCGCCACTTACTATGTGATTAAATATGGGTGCTCAATAAATTAATGTTTCTTCCACTATAGAGAACTCTGAATCTGCCCTTAAAAGAAGGCTGTACAGAGGTACCCTTGCTACGCGTTGGATGGTCCATTGGCCACTCTAGACCTCAATTCGGTAATGCTATGGATTAGGATTACTTTTTAAAAGTTACTGTGCAGATTCCTACTGCCCTGGCTGTTCTACTTTGCATGAGCTGGATGTGATTTTGTTTATTTCTTTCAATTCAGTCTGTCCTGGCCAATAAAAATTTGATCCAGATCCAACTTTTTTTTTTTTTTTTTCTCTTCTACTTGTTTTCTTACATTAGGAGAGGATGGCCTGTCCTTTGTTTATGACAGCCGAGGCCTTAAGGTTACTAAAGCACATTTCGAAGACTATGGAGAAAGCTTTGGAGAGAATGATGTGATTGGCTGCTATGCTGTAAGTTTCTATCCATGTTTCTACTTCTTAAAGTATTAAAGGATCACTACAAATTCCCCAGTACCCTTACATATATACAGTTGCAAGAAAAAGTATGTGAATTCTTTGGAATGATATGAATTTCTGCACAAATTGGTCATAAAATGTGATCTGATCATCATCAACAATAGACAATCACAGTCTGCTTAAACTAATAACACACAAAGAATGAAATGTTTCCATGTTTTTATTGAACTCGCCATGTAAACATTCACAGTGCAGGTGGAAAAAGTATGTGAACCCCTAGACTAATGACATCTCCAAGAGCTAATTGGAATGAGATGTCAGCCAACTAGAGTCCAATCAATGAGATGAGATTGGAGGTGTTGGTTACAGCTGCCCTGCCCTATAAAAAACACACACCAGTTCTGGGTTTGCTTTTCACAAGAAGCATTGCCTGATGTGAATGATGCCTCGCACAAAAGAGCTCTCAGAAGACCTATGATTAAGAATTGTTGACTTGCATAAACCTGGAAAGGGTTATAAAAGTATCTCCAAAAGCCTTGCTGTTCATCAGTCCACGGTAAGACAAATTGTCTATAAATGGAGAAAGTTCAGCACTGCTGCTACTCTCCCTAGGAGTGGCCGTCCTGTAAAGATGACTGCAAGAGCACAGCGCAGACTGCTCAATGAGGTGAAGAAGAATCCTAGAGTGCCAGCTAAAGACTTACAAAAGTCACTGGCAAATGCTAACATCCCTGTTAGCGAATCTACAATACGTAAAACACTAAACAAGAATGGATTTCATGGGAGGATACCACAGAGGAAACCACTGCTGTCCAAACAAAACATTACTGCACGTTTACAGTTTGCACAAGAGCAGCTGGATGTTCCACAGCAGTACTGGCAAAATATTCTGTGGACAGATGAAACCAAAGTTGAGTTGTTTGGAAGAAACACACAACACTATGTGTGGCGAAAAAAAGGCACAGCACACCAACATCAAAACCGCATCCCAACTGTGAATTATGGTGGTGGGGGCATCATGGTTTGGGCCTGCTTTGCTGCGTCAGGGCCTGGACGGATTGCTATCATCGAAGGAAAAATGAATTCCCAAGTTTCTCAAGACATTTTGCAGGAGAACTTAAGGCCATCTGTCTACCAGCTGAAGCTCAACAGAAGATGGTTGTTGCAACAGGACAATGACCCAAAGCATAGAAGTAAATCAACCACAGAATGGCTTAAACAGAAGAAAATACGCCTTCTGAAGTGGCCCAGTCAGAGTCCTGACCTCAACCCGATTGAGATGCTGTGGTATGACCTCAAGAAAGCGATTCACACCAGACATCCCAAGAATATTGCTGAACTGAAACAGTTCTGTAAAGAGGAATGGTCAAGAATTACTCCTGACCGTTGTGCACGTCTGATCTGCAACTACAGGAAACGTTTGGTTGAAGTTATTGCTGCCAAAGGAGGTTCAACCAGTTATTAAATCCAAGGGTTCACATACTTTTTCCACCTGCACTGTGAATGTTTACATGGTGTGTTAAGTAAAAACATGGCAACATTTCATTATTTGTGTTATTAGTTTAAGCAGACTTTGTCTATTGTTGTGACTTAGATGATGATCAGATCACATTTCATGACCTATATGTGCAGAAATCCATATCATTCCAAAGGGTTCACATACTTTTTCTTGCAACAGTAGGTAAGTAGAATTAGAATCACTATGTATAGGTTTATTCTCCCATGTCATTGCATTGAGACACATGGCAAATAACGCTTTCACTGGTCTTACTAATATAAAGACACCTAACTCACTAGAGAAAAAGGAAGCTTCAAACATTAGAACTAGTGTTTCAAGAGAGATGTATTATAAGAAAACGACTTGCATATAGAATATATCAAAACTCCATAAATATAGCTGCCATCACTTATGTTCTTACCCTCTTCCTTGTGGAACTCTGCGGATGACTCTGCAGAAATCACACTAGAATTAACACGAAGCAGATGAAGGTTACACGACTATAGAAAGATAATTTTGCAGGCACATTCTGATTGAGTATCATATTGAAAGTCTACTATACACCCAGCAAGTGCTTGTAACTTTGCTTGAGTGCAAGAGACTGAGACTGTAAAAGTGAAGAGATCAGAGGGTGAAATGTGTGCACTTTGGGAACGAGAGTGTACTAGGAATTAATGGTCCATAGGGTTGTCAAGCAGCAGATATTAAAAAAAAAAAAAAAAAAAGCGGCTAGAGTATGGGAGCTAAATGTTGATTTTATTTACAGATTAAGTGACCAATAACAAGGAAAAAAAGAAGGAACAGAAAAAATAAATCTAAATAGTCTATATTTTCAATTATTGTGTATGTATGTGTAAATACAATGTTAAACAAAAATCTGCACACCAGTCAAGCCATAAGACTTGCTTTTCCCACAAAATTCACAAATCTGCAGTGAGGTTACTACCGCAAAGGATTCTGGGTGGGCATATGCAATTTATTCAACAAAAAAATCACATTTTTGCCTCCTTCCATTTTAAACATGGATTCATTGGAGTCTGTGTTTGCTGTATCATTTATTTATTTTCCTCTGATCTGCTTTGTTTATTAATTAAGTTTTCTCGCTTGATCTGTGAAACAAATAGCGGTAAAATGTAGTGTACTGCAAAATATGTACATAATCTTTATATACATTTTTACACCCTATGTTGTTTGTCCAAATGTCTACATTGTTTTAGCATTTCAGGAAAAATTAATCCGCCAAAACCAAACTTTCCTGTTGGCAAACATTTGCACACTCATCTGCAATATGGAATCGGTAATCCTTTTGCTTCTGCAATCCATTTTGCAGCAAAAGCCGTTTGACCTGTCTCCTAAAATAAACAGATATGTGATCTAAAGCAAATGCAGTTTCTGAAAGCTTTAGACTTGATGACTAAATAGAGAATTAAGCTCAATCAACATTGTATCCAAACTTTACTTGAACTGCTGTTTTGGTCATATTCAAGATTAAGAAAGTAAACCTGACCTTTGTTTAAATTCAGTTAGAGCACTCTTTGTGGCAGCAGGCATTTTAATGTTTAGTTTGAGTTTGTCACTTAATAATTTGTATTTTATTTTCTCAGGACCTGGAGGGGGATTCTGTTAAGTTATCATTTTCCAAAAATGGTGTAGACCTTGGCCAGGCCTTTCTTCTAAAAATGAAATCTCTTGGAGGACAGGCACTTTTTCCACATATACTATGCAAAGGTTGTGCCTTTCAAGCTAACTTTGGACAAAGAGAGAAACCTTGGCATGAGCCATGTGATCGGTTTAACTTTCTGCAAGAATGTCAAGCTAAAAATCTGATAAGAGCACAGCTGGCACCTAAATCTACAGAGGAATGTGAGGTATGACCCAAAGTGGGTGTTTATACAGGAACTCTCCCTATTAATTGTTGGTGGTGGGTGTTTTCTTTTTTTCTTTTTTTTTTTCTTACCACAACTGCGTTATGCACCCTGATAAAAACACTGATATAACATTTACTGGTGTGAAAGAAAAATGAGTACTCGCTTCTGTAAAAGTGATATGTCCTCTTTAATGGGACATGATATTTAAGCTCAATTATTTCTCTCATATTCCTACCAGGTACTGCTGATGGTTGGGCTTCCTGGGGCAGGGAAGACCACATGGGTTCAGAAACACAGAGAAAAGAATCCTGATAAGCATTATGTACACCTGTGTATAGACAGACTGCTGCCACAGTTGAAGGTATGAAACCTAGAATATAGTATAGTAAAGCATAAAGTTATTTATATATATTTTATATATATAATATATATATATATATATTTTCTCACTTGTCTCTATGTAGACAGTTGGACCTGATACCCCGGAGAAGAACTCGAAAACTAGAGACGATCTTATCAAGATGGCCACACAGTGTCTGATCCGTCTGGTGCCAATTGCATCACGCAGAGAAGGAAATTACATAATTGATCAGGTGAGTCTATCTCTGTCCCTTGTTTTTTCCTATTTCATGACATATTTTAACCCCTAAGATGAACACTGTAGCGTTAGGAATAAATATATGTATTTCCTAACACTACAGCCCTGAAGCCTATAGATAGTTTAGTTCCCTCCTCATCTGACTTTAAAAATAAAAAAATAAAAGTAAACAAATATTTCACCTTTGTTCCAGAGCTTAGTCTCCATTTGGCGCTGCCACAACCCCCTTATTGGGTTCGTCATTCTGGTGGCGTGTTGGCTAAATCCATTGTGGGAACGTAGGTGAATGTAGTAATTCTCTATGGCCGACCGTGACGGCACTGCGCATGAGTGCATGATGCCATCGCATGTTACGGTATGTAAGCCAGGAAGTAAGATTCCCAGCTTTCCTATCCAGGGGGCTGGAGGTGTGGCTTGTAGCCATTCTATTTAGTTTAATGGATTTTGGGGGGGAGGGGAGGATGGCTTGTGGAGAGAGTGGGTGGAGACGCTAGAAGTTGCTGAAGGGACTACAATGTCCTTTTAAGGACCATGGCTCTTTTGAGATTTAATGTGTTTGTGACCAAGGCCCCTTTGGCACTTTTGTCATGCGTTCATTCTACCATATTTTCACTCTTTTTGTTTAAGTGCACAAACACATATTAAATATGTTATATAGGAGAACTATAACTTTGTTTTGATATCCTACATGTATAGATAACAAAACATTATATGGATACTAAAATCACCAGAACAACTACAGCTTAATGTATAGTTCATCCCTGCAAGTTTTTTGTTGTAAAAAGTGCCTTTTCAGAGAAAACAGTGTTTACATTAAAGCATAGGGACACCTCCACACTGTGCAGCACTGACATTCAGTGTCTCCACCCTCTGCATGGAGACACTGAACTTTCCTCATAGAGATGCATTGATTTAATGCACCTATATAAGGAGATGTTGATTGGCCAATGTGGTGTTTGGTCCTGTCCACACCCTCCTTATCTAAATTCTGATGTCAGCGAAGAGGCGGATAGGGGGTGCCTGCAGAGCTTTGGAGAGCTGGAAATAAGTTAAGTTTTAACCCTTTCTAAGGGGGGTGAGGGGTGCAACCACCTAAATGGTGGTTTTAACACTATAGGGTCAGGAATACATATTTGTGTTTTTGATCCTATAGTGTTCCTTTAAATATGAATAGAAGGGGAGGAGTACCTTTTTATTTTTTTTATTTTTTGCATGTAATAATTTTTACACAACAAGTGCAACTAGAGAATAATATCTTAAAACAGATTTACTTATTAGTCCTGATTTTTTAAATGCCCAATATGTCTAGGATTTTAATACCTTTTTAGAAGTTATAAAACACATATTGAAACGAGTGGATTATAGTTTTAAAGTAAAACTTTGCAAAATTTGGCAAAGATTACAACTTTTATTGTAGAAAGCACATCCCACCAGGCTATATAACTAAAAGCATTTTGACACTTTTCATTTAACTTTTTTTTTTTTTTTTTTTTCATGAAATTTTTCTGCTGGTTATATTTAATACTTTTTGTGTGTGGGTTTTTTTTTTCATGAAATGTTTTATTTTGGGTAAATTTAACAGACCGTGTGTGTCCCACTACTGTAAATGCTCCATGTTTGTATTCTGCTACTGATCTCGAGTACAAAAATACCCCAAATATATACCTTTGCCCCTAATCCTACCACAAATACAGTCCCTTGAAATTAGCAGAGGGATTCCCCAGTTTACACAGTACAGAGCACTAGGGAGATCTCCCTATAATGCTGCAGCACCAGCAAAGTTCATGGTACAGGAGCTCCAGTTCCTGTACCCGGAGCTTCAGTTCCTGTACCCGGCCAGACTGACAGGAAGTGCTCTCTTAATGAGCATTTCCTGTCAGTGCGGCCAGGTGCAGGAAACTGAAGCTCTTGAACCGTGGTCCATTTTGCTCCACTCGACCACGCTTTACCGAATGGCTGGTGGGGGGAGCGCTGTGCGCTTCCTTCCTGCCGGTCACTCGATTCTTGCACCCCCAGAGCCGGTGTGGCTGTGTGTTTAGCCTTACGGACGCGCCAGCCCTTCGTGCGTTGGGCCACGGTCGCCTCACACATTATTGGCAATATTGGTATCAATAGTGGCCGATTATCGATTTGGCTGCTATTATAGGCAAATATCGTTATCAGTCTATCCTTAATTAAAGTCACGTAGATGGGCATGAACGCTCATCTATGGTGCTTTAAACTGATTTAAAGGATTATGTGCAGTGCTTACTTTGAGCGCTGCACACAGCTCATTTGTCAGTGTAATTGTAGCCCTAGATGAAAGAGAGTATCAAATGATCCCTAGGGCTGCTTGGTGTCAGCAGGAATTGAGTCCTAGTGGTACATTTAACACATGACGGCGTGTGCTGTCAAGGGTTGTTCAAGCCCTGACTGTTATGTGGCCCTTAAACAGTTAATGTCTTTATTTCTTCCCCTCCAATCTCCTCAGTGTACTGTATATAGATCTGCGCAATACAGGAAGATGAAATGCTTTGAAGGTTTCAAACGTAAAGCAGTTGTCTTGGTCTCAGAAGAAGATGAATGGAAAAGGAGGTTGGAAATTCGCAAAAAAGAAGGAGAGATCTATCCGGAGTCTGTCCTCCAGCAGATGAAAGGTAATCACAGTATGATCTCCGTTGATAGACATTTCTATATTCTTATAAAAAATGTTTGTATTCTTAACCAAGTGACCAATGCTTTTCTAAGATTTCAAGATTCCAAGTGATTGGTAGAAGATTTTTGTAACACATCTGCTATAATTTAATTCTGCCTAATTGACATGCTTTCTCTTAAATTACTATGTATTGTTTGGGGTGGTGTTGTTTTTTTTTTCTTCTCCTTTTCATTGTTATTTATTTATTTTACAAAGTGGTAGACCTGTAGCCCAGTCCTAGTTTATTAATGTCACATTAATTTAACATAATATAAGAGAACACAATGGGCAACAAAACTGATCAAATAAATTGATCTGAAACCGGTGGTACAGCATGCAGGGCTGATTGGTTTTGGTGTGTGTCTAAAGCTGGTAATATGGAAGACTAGTATCAAGGCATAGAAATTGTGAGATGACCTGCAGTCACTCATTGCAAATTCCAGTTTTTAAATGGTTAAATCTTTTGTAATTTTCCCATTAAAAGGAAACACTAAGCACAAAAACAACTTTAGACAGGGACAGTGAACCCCTGGCCACTGTAATTGAGATGACGTGGTTTGGATGCCTTTAGTGTCTCTTTAAGCGTAATGAAGCAGTTGCAGTGTAAATTGGGCACCTGAAATCTCACTGCTCAATTATGTGCCATTTAGGAGTTCAATCACTTTTGTCTCTGTGAATGAAACCCTAGCCACTCCTTCCCTGTCTGACTCGCACAGTCTGCAAAAAGAACCATTTGGCTTCCACCAATTGGAGAAGTATATTCCTTGTTACTAAGGGGTACTCTTTACTGCCCTGTCACTTATACACTTGGTGACAGTGGAAGTACAGTGTAATTTAGCATTTTAACCCCTTAAGGACCAAACTTCTGGAATAAAAGGGAATCATGACATGTCACACATGGGTGATATAGGTCATTTTTGGTGGATCGCTGTAACACTGGTACAATTGAAGCATGAACCAGGATACTGCTGAATAGTTTAGGCCTAGGATATCTGACAATATCCGATACACCAGATATCATTGTTTTGATGGGCTAGTGCAGCATTTTGATGCCGTAGCGTGTGCTCCAAGGCGGGAATCAATTTCTGCTTTTGGTACACTGTAGGATTAGCAAGTACTTGGCCAATTCTGACTGTCTCACGAGTGAGACAGTCTAGTGATAGTGTTTAATTGGCTCCCAACCCCTGAAAACCAACCAAACCAATTGTATGCCTTAGCTGGCAATATGATCTGCTCTGACAGTGATAACACTTCTCAGTTTGAAGTAGCAGTCCAGGGTTATGATAAGCTAGGGTTTTAAATCCTTTTAGAGTTATTATTGTGTTAGTGTCATTAACACAATTTTTATTATAACATTGATTCTAATCATTGGAATAAAGTTTGCATTTGTGTAGGAAGGTATTTAGGGGAACATGGTAGGTTGATTAAGATTTTAGGTATTAAATAAAAAAATAAAATAGAACTTAAATTATATATGAATTTTTATTTATGATGTTATAATTTTATTTTTATTTACTTATTCTGTCCCACACATGATATTCCCCTCCCCCCTTTTTGCATTTTTACACACCTAATATTGTGATATGTTTTATAGGCCACCAGAAATGGGCATATTGTTTTATAAAAAGCATTGAAATTATTTATAGGTGAACTTAAAGGACCACTATAGTGGAAGGAAAACACTTGTTTTCCTGGCGCTATAGTGCCCTGAGGGTGCCCCCACCCTCAGGGGCCCCCTCCCGCCGGGCTCTGGGGGGAGGAAGGGGTTTAAACCTCTTTCTCCAGCGCCGGGCGGGGAGCTCGCCTCCTCCTCTTCGGCTGAATGCGCATGCGCAGCAAGAGCCGCACGCGCATTCAGCCAGTCTCATAGGAAAGCATTTACAATGCTTTTCTATGGACGCTGGCGTCTTCTCACTGAAAATCACAGTGAGAAGCACGCAAGCGCCTCTAGCGGCTGTCAAGAGACAGCCACTAGAGGCTGGATTAACCCTATTATAAAAAAGGGTTAACCCTAACTGGAACTGGCACCCAGACCACTTCATTAAGCTGAAGTGGTCTGGGTGCCTATAGTGGTCCTTTTTAATGAGAAATCAGGGAAATATGATATAACAAACACATAGTGGGGGTTCCCATTTTCTTTCTAACACGTTTTTTCCTTTTCCATTCACATAGCTGCTGTTAATTGCCATATTTTTGTACCTCCTTCCAGCTCATTTCGACATTCCTAAGAAGTGCGACTGTCTGGATGAGATTATCTGTCCTGAGCTTGGGATTCAAAAGGCTGTAGCAGTTACTTTAAAAGCCAAGAAAGAAGCTCGTTCTTTACCTGAGAAGAGACAAAATTGTGAGAAAAATTAAGATGAACAGTTTTTGTATATGTTTTTTGTTTATAGTTTATACTGGCCTTCGGTTTTGTAATTGCTTTAGTCATAAATAAGACAAGGGGTTAAAATGTAGGGTCCTTTAACTTCTGCAAGTTGAAACTTAATCATAACCGTAAAAACTCTCAACAGGTGCTGTGAAACCACAGTTACAGTCCCTTGTTCCCAAACAGCTCAGAACACGGGCAGGTGAGTCTCACAGGTTTTCTGCAATGTAATTGTTTCACTTGTTGCTTTGATGTTGGACTTGCCGTTGACCATTTGTTGCACTGATGATTATACAATGCAGTTCTTTTTTTCTGTTCTGCAATCGTGGTTTCAAATTTAAATCCACAAAATAAACCAGTTGTTAAGGGATTATATTTTTTCCTGTAGATAGGCAGTACAGACTTTAGGAATGTTCAGCCATCTTCCGCAGGACAAGCAGTCTTTTTTGGAAAGAACAAATTAAGAATGAAAAAGGTTAATTTAAAAAAAATTAAAAATAAACTAAATTCAATTTCCAAATCTGTGATTTCCAGCTTATTTTTTTTTTTCCCCTTTTGTTTTGTGCAGGGCTCAGTAAGAGAATGTACCCAAGGCCACATTCTTACCATAGGCCCCCTATGAGCATGCTGCACTGGAGGCCGCAAGTTCGAGTAAGTGCAAGAGAGGTCAGGGTTTGGCTGTAGTTACAGATGATGGTTTTTGTTTTGTTTCTTGTGAGATGTGAAAGTTTGGGGAAAATATGCATTTCCTTTATGTGAATAGACAAACATCAAAGCATCACCTTCTTGAACATTATCATAATCTTTATCTTCCTCTTACTACTGCATAGGATTTTCAGAATTACTATGATCCATACCAACCTCAGCAGAATAGACAGAATAGATACTTTGGACCTCAAAACCATGGCCTTCAAAACCATGGTCCACAAAACAGAGGGGTAAGGGCGTTGCACTTTTATTTTTTCCTACTCTAGTTGTAATTATCATCTGGCAAGTCACTAGTTCTAATTTACTGCATTTTGCTTCAACACTGCAGTGTTATTTCTATTAATATTCTACAAAGAATTAAAATGTTGTTGCATTTTTTATATATATTTTTTTCTTCTAATTAGCGATCATGGATAAATTCTTTGCTTTCATGAAAATGTATACTTGAATTTAAAACAAACAAGCAAGCAAAAAATTTAAATGTATTTATATATGTGTGTGTGTGTATATGTGTGTGTGTGTGTATGTGTGTATATATATATATATATATATATATATATATATATATATATATATATATATATATATATATATATATAATCTATATCTCATGCAAAATGAATGGCTGCTCTCCGTTCTCTAAAAGAAAACTAAAATTTATTTTATTATGTTAAAAATAATGACTGTTTCAGTCCCCGTTTGGGACTTTCTTCAGGGTCCAAAAATAACAGGACAACAACAGAATTAAACTGGTTGTCCTGTTATTTATTTTTTTTGACCCTGAAAAAAGTCACGAATAGGGACTGAAACGTTGGTCATTATTTTTAACATTATCAAAAAAATTTTTTTAATTTTTATTTTAGAGACCGGAGAGCAGCCATTCATTTTGTGGATGTTGTATCATATGGAGCTTTGGTTCATGCGCCCGGCATTGGAGCAGCTTAAGCGTTTGTTTTAAATATATATAAATATATATATATATATATATATATATATATATATATATATATATATATATATATATATATATATATATATATATATATATATATATATGTGTGTGTTCCTCTTTGTCCTTGCACACATACTTTTTTTTAAAACTTTTTCAAAATGCCGGGTGCATTCTAGCCATAGCCATAAATTATAATACAAATAGTGAAAGGCTTGCACTCACTGTCTTTTTTCTTTTGTAAAAGATTCCTTTATTTCATTCTTGTTAAAATATGGTCCACGTTTCAGCCATTGTTCGTGGCTTTCATCAGGATCAAATACTGTTAAAGGAACAGCCCACACACAAAGAAATACAGTTTTACATTTAACAAGGCTACTTAAAATTGCCTACCTTGGCAAATAAATATGGGGATTTGGTTCCACTTATGGCCATATTGTGTTAAGCCCACCACTATGGGTGCTTCTTTGGAGGTGACCACATGAAAGCTTAAATTGAGGAGTCTCTGTTTATACTGCAAGTAAGTATTGCAAGTTAGCATGTAAATCTACCATATTAAAATTAGTATAGGAACACCTATATTGGGGTACTCTCATCTAGTGGTGGGCTTGACACCATATGGCCATATGGTGGAACTGAATCCCTATATTTATTCGCTAACATATGGAATTTTAAGTCGCCTTTTTAAATGTAAAGCTGTATTTCTTTTTGTGTGCGCGCTGTTCCTTTAACTGTATTTTGTATAGTTTCAGTAGATGGCACTGGAAATAAATTAAGATATACAATCCAGGTTGGAGTTGCAAACATAGCCAAAGTTGGAAATTCTTCCAAATTAACTTTTTTTTTTTTCTTCTCTTCTTAAATTAACGTTTTTGAATTCTTGACAGTATACACTTTAGTGAATAACCCTGGGTGGTGGTGGGGGGGGGGTTACTTTACTACATTGCTTGAAATGTTTTATTAATTAGAAGACGAATATCATTTGTTTTTCTCCTCAGCACTGGCAGAATTCCAATAACCGGACTCAGAATTGGAACTACTATGGATATCCATGAAAGTCATAAGCTCCTGATGGGGAATATAAGTGAAGGATTGTTTATATATTTTTTAGCTTTACTGTGGGAAAAGAAATCATGAGAAATGCAGCTGGTTTCAAGGAATAAAATAATATATAAAAATGTAGGCTTCTTTTTGTAAAGGACTCCAAGCACTACAGCCCGCTACAGTGGTTCTGATTCCAGGAATGCCCTGGTGCCATCCCATGTTAAAATCTGAACCTGTGCTGAAATGGTTTCACAACTTAACTGGGTCCTGCTTAGTGCTGCTGCTTCATTTGGTTTACTCCAGTAGCAGACAACGGTTGCTTTGTTGAGCAAAGCAGGACCATGCTGAGAGCATGAACTGAACACTATCAACCAAAAAACAGTCATGCAAAAGCCATGCTTACTCAACAGTGACATTTGGTGTCTTCTGCTGGAAAAAACTTGATGCGACAGATAAGGTGTGGGACCCAGGTAAGTTTTGAAGCCGTGATAAAATAGTTTGATGTCATGCCACTATAACACTACAGCGGCCTCTAGTGGTCATGGTGCATGGAGTGCTCTTTTAATATGTATGTGAACATCAGGCATACAAATCTGTTGGTGTTTATTCACTAAACAGAATTATTGTGAAAGTCGGAACTTGATGAACTTGAGTGTTTGTTTTTACCCCACTCTATATTTCTGTGAAAATAAATATATGTTGATTTGAAATCCAGATTGGCTATTTTAGCCCAGATATTGCAATCTGGGAAATAATTCCAAATCAACACCATTTTGACTATCTTTTGTCATTTTGCAAAATTCACTACAAATTAATTTAATATCAAATAAGCCCCTTTGGTGTCTGTGGTATGTAATTTGGCAGAATGGCATATTTTTATAGGCAAGATTCAGGTGTGCAGGTTGTTACATATATTGACTGATTACAATTTCTGATCTTGTCCTTTCTGCTGACCTTAAGAGCACTTGTAGTTTTCTAAATTATCACTTGCTCCATCTTGTGCTTTTTGCTCCTCCTTCTACTGGAGTTATTGCCTTTTTTTTCCCTTTTCTACCTTTTTTTATTATGTGTATTTTTGTTTTATGGGGGAGGTGGGGTAATGTTTTATTTAAAAAAACAAAAAACTGTTACATGCTTTTGTTGTCCACTTCCTTTTATTACGAACATAAAATATCTTTTTACATCAGTGAAGACGCAGAATATATCATTGTTTTTATAACCCCCTTTTAGGTCCTCATACTTCTCACTTTTATAAATTTTATCATCTGATTTTTGAAAAATGACACCATCTTAGCATGTATTTTAATTATACACTTACAGTGAAAAAATGTCTGTGGAAGTCCAGGCTGGGGACTCGTTGCTATGTAAGGACACGTGCAGTGGCAGTCACTCAGACGACCACTAGAAGTGCTTCCTTGGTCAGTGCTTTGCATGGAGACGCTGAACTTTCCCCCTAGAGATGCATTGAGTCAATGCATCTGTGTGAGGAGATCATGATTGGCCAAGGTGGTGTTTTGCTCCGCCCCACCTCCTTGACTAAGATCATCAGAATTGACCATCTCAGCCAATCTAATGCTTTTGCAAGGGTTTACGATAGCAAATCCAATGCTTTCCTAAGATTGTTAATTCTGGCGGTGGAATAAAGGTGAGTTTTAACTCTATTTAAGGCGCGGTGGTGCTATCTAAATAGTGTTTTTAACATTATGGGGTCAGGAATACATGTTTGTATTCCTCACCCTATAGTTTTCCTTTAAAGACCAATTTTTATTTTTCTATATGTATGGAATTTAATATATTTGCAAAACACTTTCAGGGTTATTCACTAAAGTGAGAATTTAAAATACATTAAAAGGGTTTAGACCAAAGGATGTTACAGGCAAATTGTATAAAGTACAATAATATTCTTTAAAACCAGAGTCAATTTTTCTAGGGTCTAATATTACTTCTTGGCTTTGTCTCTAAAAACAATTCTTCTTCACCTTTTACCAAGTCTTGAACAGTGTTTGGGTGAGATCGCTATACAAGCTATAACGTTGAGCTATAATCACTGTTCTATGTGCTGGGAGAGATACTTCGAAGGTAAAGGAGAACCTTGGTGGTGACACTCAGGTTCCTTGGTGAGTGGTCCGCCACAAGACTAAAAACAGACCTCTATAAGGGCTTGTGGGTGAATACGGTCAGGCCCTTGAGCTTTGTTTACATTAACTTTTGTTAATTGCTGCAGCACCTTGGGTTGAATCATCCAATCACAGTTTTTCTTTAAGTTTTTTGCAGCAATCATTTGCATATCTCTTGCCATAGCTTGCTACTTAATATATACTGAGGAAAATAGTTAAAATGTCTGCCTTTTCCTGGTTTTCATTAACAAACACACACTCTCTGTTTCGAGTGTACTAAGCTTTCATATATTTTTTTTTTTAGAATTTATATACTTATTTCAAACTTTTTTTTTTTTTTTTAAGTTTGGTTTTGCTCTTTTTGGGAATTACGTTAAATTTTCTAGTTTTTCCAATCTAATTGTCTTTATGCATGCATTATTATCTTCCTTATATCATTTATAGAAAGCCTGTGATTTAAATGTTTTAAATTCCTTTTTCTTATTTTTAATTACTTGGTTAATTTCCCACTAAGCCACACTGGTTTAAATTTGTTTCTTTTATATTTATTACCCAAAGGTGCAAACTGATAAGAGTACCTTTCTAAAATTTGTTTGAAGATATTCCTCAGGGCTTTTTTTCAACTAAAGAGTTTATATCAGTCAATAAGTTGTAAAGCTGCCCCTATTATTTAAATTAATGTTTATAAAATAAAATTACATGTTTTAGTATACCCCATGTGCACGTGCTTTTTTACGTTAATGTCAAAAGACACCATATCTTGATTGCTATTTACCAAGTGCTCCCCTACTTGAATGTTTGTCATTAGATCAACATTGTTTATGACCAGATCCAGACAAGCATCCTTTCTAGTTGGTGCTTGAGCAAGTTGGGACATGAAGGGGTCATTTAACAGGTTCAAAAACTTGATTTCCCTTTGCTGAACTACTACTCCCTTTATCCCAATTTATTTCCCGGTAATTAAAATCTCCAATAATTAATGTGTTACCTAGATGTGCAGCTTTCCCAATTTGCTCTTATAGCTGTTCTTCCTCATCAATATTAAAATTAGTTGGTTTATAACATATCCCAACCAATAATTGATTTTCCTTCTTTTTCCCAGGCAGATATCTACCCATATCCCTCCTCACATTCCACTTGTGTAATATTTGGCTTTAACTTTGACATACAAACATACCCCACCACCTTTCCTGTTTTTTTTTCAATCCGTCCTAAATAATGTGTCACCATTTAAGTTAACTGCCCATACATCCCATGTTTACGTGCAAAGCATAAGGATGTCAATGTCTTTTCACAAAGTTAAAGTCTGTGAAACAGCAGGAAACATCTCTAGTGGCTATTTGGTAGACCGCCACTGCAGTTAGTCTTAACATTGCAATGTAACTTTGCAGTGTTTTAGGTTGCAGGGTTAACAGGACAGGGACACTGCACCCAGATTACTTCAATGAGATGAAGTGGTATGGATGCCTATTGCGTCCCTTTTAATGCCAGTAAATGAGTTGAAAAGTTATGGATTGCATTTGATTTTGACATATTTCTGGGAGTGCACTCCAGGAGAACACCAACGTTCTAGTGTGAGAATTACAGGGCAAGGTTATAATACTGGCTAAGTTTCTGAGGTTTACTACCGGTGGAGTGTGAGCAGGACTTGACTGGAAACTTTTGGCCAAGAGGCGAATCAGTGGTGAAACGAATACAGAGAGTGTGGATGTTTGGAGGATAAATGCATTTTGTGTGAGCAGGGGATGTTATATGTATGTGAAGAAGATGCACTGTGGTATAAGGGCTGTATTTTATGTGTGAGCAAGTGATGGCTTTAATTTGTAGGAGTTCTTTGTTTTTCTTTAAATATAAAAAAATTAATTGATAACATTGTTATACAAAATGTTTATTTCCCCTTTTGGCAAAGGAGGGGGGACATTGCGATCCTGTAGATCTCTGTTTTCTGCCTGCACCATCTGCCTCATCCCAACAGTGTTCCACAGTGCTGGGTGGGAAATCCTGGTCACCTTAAATCAAGCCGCTTTCATTTGGCACATGGAGTTTCCTCAAGTCCTGGGTATCTTTCAATGCCTCACCACCTCCTCACTTTATCATCCCTCCAAATAGCGCCCTGATATGTGATTCTGGGTCAGAGAGCAACCTTAACAAAGTTTTACCGGACTGCAAAATTTCTGTGATCCGATCAGGAGTTCCAGATGGTTTGGAGGTTGCTTCCGGTCAGGCGCGCTGTGCCTCTGTGAATTCCCTGCCAGTCTGTGGTAACTCCTGGGCCACTGGAAAGGGCCTGTAATGCCACAACAGCATGAACAAATGACATGATAGCATACCTAGTGATATTAATGCATGTCAGAAATAGACACTGCACATTTTTATAAAAGTATAAACAATCAGGCATAGTGTATGAGTAGTCAACTAAAACTTAGTGTTAAGGAAAAACATGCTTATTTAGGAATAGACTGGTCAGGCTACCCCACACGTAGGCACAACAAAATGGAGTCCACCAGGCATACACAACACAGTAACAACATATGCATTAGACATGGTGAAGCCTATGAGTGATAGGGGTATGTATAGACAGTGTGAAACATGCAATTGTAACTTTACTTTAGGAAAAATAAAGGGCTGCTATGTAAACGAGAACAAAAAGAAAACCTAATAAAATACAGTAGTCCACCACATAGCATTTAATCCAGGAGGAGACGTAAGCCGGTGCGGGGGCTTTCACAGTTGGTCTCATGGGCCCTCATCCGATACCCGATATGAGAGTAGACTGCTAGGCTCTTGGAGTAAGGGGGTTAGGCGTATGTAGCATGGGAATGCTGATGACAGGCCCACAACTGAGAGTTCCAAACCCCTATTATGATTACAATGGGATTGTACAGCAGCTGCCATCCAGAGGAGTCAGAAGAGCTAGAGTCCCAAAATTCGAGGTCCCTTCGGGTCCCCAAACTAACACAGGCCCTGCAGCTTCAGGCCTTTAGAGATCAATGGTGCCATGTTCCCCTGAGATCCGTTGTGCATGTAGGGAGTCATTCCGACCTATCAGAAGACCAGAAGGCCTTGTCTAGATTTGATCTAGATTTTGCAGGCATTTAGGTTGCGTTGGTGTGTCTGAGGCTTACAGTCGAGCTGTCAGGTCACCTTGCCTCTTCGCCTCAATATTAGCACAGAATCTTGAGAAGATTAGATCCAGCTTAGCCAGGGTTGTGGCGATATAGGTCTCGGCAGCGCCTCTGGTCATGATCACCGCCATCTTATGTCACACAGCACCCCTGCGCTTAGCAGCTTTAGGTACGAAGAGTTGCAGTGGGAGATCTCATGGGACCCAGATAACCCCCACCAGTCTGGAGGGTGGGTGGGGAGTGCAGAAATCCACTCAGTGTAACAGGATGTGGCATCTGGAGAGCAACCGCCCCTCTGACAGCCTGTCTGGCTTAGAAATGTGATATATAACACAATGACAGAAATAACACCCCAAACACGTGAAGAATATATAACTACCCTTATATAACTTTTTAGATTGTAAGAAGATTCCTCATATCTTCTTCACATATTCATCAAAAATACAATCTATAATAAAGGAAATAGCTTAAATAGCGTGATAGAAAGTATGATGGGACGTGGGTAACTTGTTACACTCACAAGAAATAAGCTTGTAGCAGGAACGTAAAGGTATCTTTATAGGACGTTAACCTTCTGTCCTTTTCTTTTAATCCATTGACAATATAGGAAAAAGAGGGAGAAAAGCAAACATAGTGTACCACTTTAAAAAGTAAAACACCTTTTATTACAAATTGCACTCACAGAATGGATTCTTTAGGCTTGCATATCATGATATGTGTATCCAGACCCAGGGTATGGTGTTCTGAAGTCGGTAACCAGATAGCAGCTTGCAATCCACACAAATCAAAATAAAATGTATTTAAAATAAAAATGAATACAAGATACAAATTATAGTCATTATATGGTTATCCCAGCCCTTCGCGTTTCGTCCATAAATGGACTTCCTCAGGAGAATCTGATAGTGATGTTGCTGGTCTCCGTCGGGATTCTTTTTAAAAGTCCTATGTGCGCATTCTCTAGCAGTCTTGCGTCCCAAGCCTCAGTCAGTGTTGGATGTTTGTGACGTCTTCCGGTTGCGCCTTGGTCGCCCTTGCGCTCCAGAAGCTGAATGTCTGTAAATACACCAGTCCCATAAAGATATCTTTTCACATAAAACAATATATATAGAATGGGGAAAAAGGAAAACCAAAAAGAAACTAATTACTGTTCTTATTAAATATATAGAAAATTACATATATAAATATTATAAAATACATGCAGAGTTCAGATGGAATATTTAAAATTATTGCTACAATGAAATGCCTGCTACAAGCTTATTTCTTGTGAGTGTAACAACAAGTTACCCACGTCCCATCATACTTTCTATAATGCTATTTAAGCTATTTCCTTCATTATAGATTGTATTTTTTATGCCTGTCAGGTTTGTAGGCCGCAAAAAGTGTAGGGTAAGTAACCTGGGTCAGGGAAGCACCGAGTCTGGTACCAACTGATTCCTCAGGATCCCCACAATGCATGAAGTCATGTTGTGCAGTGGAAAACTGCAGGTAGCAGGTATAATAAGTGTATTTTGCAAGCTTTGCTCAGGAGCTGGTCTAGCATGCGTTGTTCTGCTTGCCAGTTAGGCTCCACCCACCCAGTGGTCCAAACTTATTACTCAAAGCTACTCACACAGCTACACATACTACTCACAGCTACCCACATGCAGCCACACACATTACTCACAGCTATACACACATTACACAGAGCCAGCCTTATACATTACACACAGAAAGCCACACACATCATGCATAGCTCAACACTTACAGCCACCCTACACCTACACAAGACACACACGCACACCACACATCCACTCAACATTTTAATAAATATTCACAATACATAACATTCAAGTATAGCATAGGGGAAGAATTTCCCAGTACACACCCTAATGAAATGGGCTGTGCACTCCTATGCACAGCACGCAGCGGCTTTACTGAAGTCAGGGAAAGTGAGCTGCCCAGGCAGACCTGATGGAATATGTGATGTCATGACACGGGTGGATTATATGGGTAGGACGTTGTGATGTCCAAACATGGGGGAAGGGTGAAGGGTGTTACATTATTATAGAGTGCCAAAAAACCTGCACATACTGCCTAATACATACACACACTGAAAAATACATACACACACACAAACTGCCTAATACATACAAACACAACACACACAAACTGCCTCATACTCAAACACTGCCTGATACACACACTCACACAAACTGCTAAATAGGCACACACTCTGCTTCACACACACAATCTGCCTCACTGATACACACTAACAAACTGCCTAATACATACATAGAAATACATGATGATTATATACATGTAATACATACGTACACAACACACACAAATTGTCTCATACTCGCACACATTGCCCAATACACATACAAAAACTGTCAGATAAGGGGGTCAGAGCTAAGTGGTTGACAGGGAAATGTGTAGCGGAGCCCTAGTCTTAGCAGGGACTCTTCTCTGCTGGATCCACAAAAGTATAATCAGGAACAAGAAAAATGCCAGAGAAATATCCCACCCCCTTCCCAGCAACTGGACGACACACAGTTCTGGAAGTAAAACTGGTTTTATTCCTGCCACACACGGCTTTTATACATTGCCCCTAGCATGGGGTTTGTCAATCACAATTACAGGGCTTTTCTTCCCAAGATCCTCTGTGCCTGAGAGAAATTTTTGAGTGAGAAAAAGCTATAACTTAATTATCTCTCAGGTACAGAAAAATCTACAATATTTTAAAACAACCCAAAAATCAATTTTAATAACATCAGAACCCCACAAAAGTAATATCACCGAATAGCTTGGATCTGAGCGCACACTTTGCCAAAATATCACTCAGATACTTTTGATGGTTCGGGAATGCCATTCGAATGAAGTTTTGACTGGTCAGCCACGAGGTGATGCCCCAAAACAGTTCCAGAGAAAATAAGGCCATGAATGGTCATCTTTCGGGGGATCTCGCACGAACACTGATGAATCCCCTGGCTGTTCGGATACAAATGCTCCCCCTGTTCGGTAGTTTTGGCCTCTTGAACGCCGTTCTCCTAACTGTTCGGGAAGTTGGATAGGCAGCGGTACCAATTTACCAGTTAGGGAGATGATGGAGGCTAGAGAGAGGTGCTGGTGCTGGAGTGGCTGCATTGAGGCTGCTGGGGCCGGAGGAAGCACTGACAGTCTTCCTTCTGATTTCGCAGCAGCTTCCCCGGCACACAGACTCCTGCTCTGCCGCGCCCACGACGCAAGCTACATCCACACATGCAAGCCTTGCCCCCACCACTAAGCAGCTGTCACGACAGTGACCCCTTCACACAGAGTGAAACCCAGAGGAAGACGTTTACCAGACCTTAGAGTGGCCGGACTTGCGTCTGAGAGTAGTCAAAGGAATAGCCAGAGGTCAAGGGAATACAGAAGACGGGCACACGATAATCCAAGCCAAAATAATGGGAAACCAGAGAACAGAATAGTCAGAGTGGGAGCCAAGAGTCAGATACCAAAAAAGACAATCAGAATATAAAGAGCGCTAGAGGACTCAAACAAGAACCACACTAGGGCGCCTAACAAGTGCCATGGTTTCTTTAGCTTTAAAGCCATGCCCCCAAAAGGTCCAGGAGCGTGGCCACGTTTGAATTTTGGTGACACTATTTTGCTGACTTCGGCGCGCAAGCCCATAAAAATGGGCGTGTTCCAAGCGGCTGGCGTCAGAAGGACTGAGCCGCCTCCCGGAAGTACGGGGAGAGAACGCCGCACTGCGCGGGCCTGGCGAGGAAAGGTAAGTGATCATTACAGCAGCAGACCTTGCTGCAGTTGGAAGAGGCAAGGTAGGTTTGATATACTAAGCTGTGTGTGTGTGTCAGTGAGCTTGTCTGTAGTGAGCTTGTGTGTGTGTGTGTCAGTGAGCTTATCTCTAGTGAGCTTGTGTGTGTGTCAGTGCCTAGGCTGACAGAAGAGACCTGCTTTTTTGCTGTAGGCCCTCTTAGGCCGGTGAGGAGATCAAAGATTAGTGACAGGGAGGGCTGGGGGACCTGGGAGGCGGAGCGCTCTTCCCGCGAGAATGCTGTGTGGAGCGTTGCTGCGTGTTATCAGACAGCCAGCAGCCAGAGGAGCTGCAGGCTATAGACCACTCACCACCACTGGACCATCATGGAACAGCACCCCTCACACACACACACACAGCACCCCTCACACAAAACACCCCTCACACACAAACACAACACCTGTGACACACATACACAGCACCCTTCTCACACACAGCACCCTGCACACACACACTGCATCCCTTACGCACACACACAGCACCCGTCACACACACAGCACCCCTGACACAAAGCACCTTTGTGTATTCAGCAGACTGTGTGTGTGTGTGTTCAGCAGTTTGCGTTTGTGTATTCAACATTCTGTATGTATTCAGCAGCCTGTGTGCATTCAGCAGTATGTGTACATATTCAGCAGTATGTGTGTATTCAGCAGTCTCTGTGTGTGTTTTTGTGTGTGTATTCAGTGCACTGTGTGTATGTACTAAGCAGTCTGTCTTTGTGTACTCGGCAGTCTGTTTATGTGTACTCAGCAGTCACTGTGTGTGTATCTTGCAGTCTCTGTGTGTGTATTTAGCAGTCTGTGTGTGTTTATTCAGCAGTCTGTGTGTGTGTTTGTTGTGTGTGTATTCAGTGTACTGTGTGTATGTACACAGCAGTCTATGTGTGTGTACTCAGCAGTCTGTCTGTGTATATTCTGCAGCCTCGGTGTGTGTTTGTTGTGTGTGTATTCAATGTACTGTGTTTATGTACTCTGCAGCCTGTGTGTACTCAGCAGTCTGTGTGTGTGTATTCAGCAGTCTCTCTGTGTGTATTCAGCAGTCTGTGTGTGTGTTTTTGTGTGTGTATTCAGTGTACTGTGTGTATGTACTTAGTAGTTTGTCTGAGTGTACTCAGCAGTCGGTGTGTGCGTGTATTCAGCAGTCTGTGTGTATGTATTTTATGTATGTATGTATGTATGTATTGCATTTGTTGGCGGTACCAATAAATATAAGCTTAATTTTTATCAATAATTACATTTTTTATTCCTGTGAGTTGTGTAGGAAGGGCCCCAGTGCACTGCTTTGCCCGAGGCCCATAACGCTGTTAAGATGGCACTGCTTGTGTGTCAGTGAGCTTGTCTGTAGTGAACATGTGTGTGTCAGTAAGCTTGTATTTAGTGAGCTTGTGTGTGTCAGTGAGCTTTTATTAAGTCAGCTTGTGTATGTCAGTGAGCTTGTCTGTAGTAAGCTTGTGCGTGTCACTGATGTCAATGAGCTTGTCTGTAGTGAACCTTGTATGTCTATACAAATGAGTTTGTCTGTAGTAAGCTTGTGTGTGAGTCAGTGTTTTGATGTCAGTGAGCCTATTTGTGTGTATCAGTGAGTTTGTGTTTTGTGTCAGTGAACTTGTGTGTTTACTGTATCAGTAAAGAGAGAATTGCAGGGAATTGAGATGGGAATTTCAAACTTTAGGCCGAAATAGTGCAGTTGTATGGGATAATTTTTCCAACTTGGCTACTATGGCCTTAAATTTAAAATTCCCATCTCACTTCCCTGTAAATCTCTCTTTATTGAGTAGACCCTGTAATCTGCACTATGATAAGTAGGCGGAGATTAATTATGTGGGTTGGACACAGTGGGCGGAGCTTTGCGGCAGTGGGTGTGGTACATTTTCAAGGTATGATAGTAATTGATAGCTGTGCTGCAAAGTATCCCTGGAAATGTTTTTAAAATCTTGGCAACTATGCCGGGGCTTCATGCAGACACTGAACTTTCCTCCTCATAGAGATGCATTGATTCAGTTCATCTATATGAGGAGATGCTGATTGGCCAGGGCTGTGTTTTACCTGTCATGGCTCTGACCAGGGCCGGTGCAAGGATTTTTGGCTACACAGGCGAAGGTGCATTTTGCCTCCCTCCCCCCTTGCCCACCCAAAAAATGCGTCTTGTGTCTCATAACCCCCCTTTTGAATTTCTTACTTCTTCAGTGTATTTTATCCCCGTTTTAGTGTGTCTTACACCCCTCTGTGTGTCTCTTACTTCCCCCATCCCCTTTGTATGTCTCATATTTTGCCCAGTCCCTTCGTGTGTCTTTCTTTCCCACAGTCCTTTTCTGTGTCTCTCTCCCTTCAGCCCGTTTTGTGTGTGTGTGTGTGTGTCCACCAGGGACCTTTGTGCGTCTTTTTCTTCCCAAGCCATATAGACATAGTTCTATAGCAACACACACAACAATAATTATTCAGGCACACAGTCACAGAGATATGCAGCCACATAATCAAACAAACACAGTCATACAATCTACACATACAAACAAAGTCATACAGGAACACACAGAGACATTCAGACACTATCATACAGAGACATAAAGACGTAGGCATACAGTGACATACAGAACAAGGCATACAGAGACATATGGAGAAAGTCATAGAGACAAACAGGCATGCAGAGACATACATACACAGACATAAAGTCACATAGAGATATACAGAACAAGGCATACAGAGACAGACGGACAAAGTCATACACAGACACACAGGCAAACAAAGACATACATATAAAGCCATACA